TTAAGGTATTTCACTAACAATGATTGTAAAAAGCACATCAAGCACGTGAAAAGGTGTTCTAAATCATTAATTACTGTAGCTGTCAACATATCATTGAGTCAGAATCAACTCATAGGTCACCCTAAGGTGAGTTCTCAGGGGCTGTAAAGCACCTTGAAAAAGATTAGCCATATTTTTCCAGTGGAATCAGATCATGAATTCAGATCTTCTGAATTTAGTGAGACTGAAACTCCTTATTTATAGACTAGATTACTTAGACTTGGATAATAAAAAAGAAAGAATTCACTAAGCAGTTCTCAAAAAAAATGAGAATAAATTCAAGCCCCAAGTTCAATACTTGGTGATGCGATGGGAAAATTCTTCAGTGTTGCAGAAAACCTCAAAAGAAGTTGATTGGAATATAGAGACTCACTGTACCAAAAAGAATGGGCAGACATTGAATTTCAGAAAGTAACATATGATCAATTGTCAGTGCTAATGAAGAGGTAAGTTCAAGCTGCTTTGAAGACAATAGCAAAAGAGAAGACCCCAGGAATTGATGAGATAGCAATTGGTATGTTTCAAATGACAAATGTAGCTCTAGATGTGCTCTTCAGTCTATGCCAGGAAATTTAGAGGACAGCTGCCTGGCCAACACACCAGAAGAGATTCATATTTGTTCCCATTCCTGAGAAAAATGATCTAACAACATTATCAAACAATATAATATTACATGTAGCAAAAATGCTGATGAGCATTGAAAAGTGGCTAGAACAGTACATAAAGGGCTTCTATATGTTCAAGGAGGTCATGGCCCCAGGGATATCATTGTTGATCACATAGATCCTGGCTGAAAGCAAAGAATACCAGAAGAAGGTCTATTCATGCTTCAGTGACTATGCAAAGGCATTTGACTGTATGGATCATAACAAATTATGGCTAACATTGAGGAATGGGAATCCAGAACACTTAATTGTGCTTATGCAAAATCTAGACCTACACTAAGAGGCTATTATGTGAATGAAGCAAGGGGATACTACATGTTTCAGAATAAGGAAAGGTGTGCATCAGGGTTAGATCTTTTCTCCACACCTATTTAATATGTATGTGAGCAAGTTATTAACAAAGCTGAACTCTATAAAGAAAATGTGGCATCAGGATTGAAGGGAGACTCATAAAAACTTTTGTTATACAGGTGATACAATCTTGCTCAAATTGAGAACTTCAAAGCACTTACTGAAGAAGGTTCAACACTAGTGTTCAATACTGGTTGTATCTCACCATCAAGAAAACAAAAATCCTAAACACTAGACTAACATCATGATAAATGGAGAAAAGATTGAAATTTCCCATGATTTCATGTTATTTGGACATACAGTCAATACCCTTAGAAGCAGAAGTCAGGAGATCAGGAGATATGTTACTTAGGGAAAGTCTTTAGTAAGGAAGTTCTCCAAATTATTAAAGAGCAAAGGTTTGAGGATGAAGGTGCAACTGATTCAGGATGTGGTCTTTGCTGTGCTATGCTGTTGTCGAGAGCTGGATAATGATTAAAGATGGCAGAAGAAAAAATTGATGTCTTTTAACTGTGGTGCTGGAGAATACTGAATATTGCATAGACTGCCCCAAATAAAGCAAACAGGTAAATCTTGGAGAAAGCACAGCCAGAGTGCTTCTTGGTGGTAATGATGAAGCTGCTCCCACACATTCTTTGGGCATGTAGCTAGGAGAAGCTATCCCTTGGAGGGGGACATTATGCTTGGAAAAGAAAAGGGATGGCAAAGGAGAGGAAGACCCTCAACCAGATGGATTGACAAGGTGGCTACAGCAATGCACATGAGCATATCAAAGATTTTCAGGATGGCATAGTATAAGACAGGGTTCATATCTGTTTTTAATAGGTTTCTACGAGTCATACTCTACTCAATGGAACCTAACAACAACAATGTATTTGTATGTATATAATATCAGTTTGAAGACTTAAGTGCATCTGTTTTAAGCCATCGTCTTTTCACTTGCTGTATGTTGAGATCTGGACAATGAATAAGGATTGTTGTTTTTATATACATTGAGTTGACTGTGAGTAATAACAACCCTATAAACAATAGTTCTGAA